ATGGCTGTGAGTCTGTGTGGGTGTGTGTGTGGTCTTTGTGTGTGTGCATGTGTGTGTGTGTGTGTGTGTGTGTGTGTGTGTGTGTGTGTGGTCTTTGTGTGTGGTGTCTGTGTGTGTGTGGTGTGTGTGTGTATGCGGTCTGTGAGTTTGTGTGTATGTCTGTGTGTGTATGCGGTCTGTGTGTGTGAGTGTGTGTGTATGTCTGTGTGTGTGTGTATGTCTGTGTGTGTGTGTGTGTGTGTGTGTGTGGTCTGTGTGTGTGTGTGTGTGTGGTCTGTGTGTGTGTATGTGTGTGTGTCTGTCTGTCTGTCTGTGTGTGTTTCTGTGTTTGGGTGAGTGAGTGTGCGTCTGTGTGCGTGAGTGTGAGAGTGTGTCTGTGTGTATGAGTGTGAATGTGTCTGTGTGAGTGAGTTTGTGTGTGTTTGTGTGTGTGGGTGGGTGTGTCTGTGTGCTGAAGACCCTGAAGTACACCACGTGCTGAAGGCCAATATAATCTCTCATGACAGCAGCCAGTCAGCTGGAGGTATGCCTGAGAGACGGAATTCCTTCAATGTGAACTCCTGATTCCAAGACAATGTCCTTGGTTCTAGAGTCTTCCGTAAGGGCAAACAACCTTTCTGCATCTACCCTGTCCAGCTCTCTAAGAATCTTGTATGCTATAATAAGGTCACCTCTCGTTCTTCTTAACTCCAATGAGTACGGGCTGACCTCCTAAGACATTCTGTCTGTACCTCGGATCAGCCTAGTGAATCTTCTTTAGACTGCTTGCAATGGCAGTGTATCTTTCCTTAGATACATGGCCCCAAAACTGATCACAGTATTCCAGCTGTGGTCTGATAAGTGCCTTGTATTGTTTTAGCAAGACTTCCCTATTTTTATGCTCCATTCCCTTTGAAAATGCCACAGTGGACATTCTTATGGCAGAGGTGAAGTGCACAAAGTCATTAAGCTTTTAAAACTCCCTTCTGACAGTCTGTAATTTACCAAAAGGTTGCCAGTACGTTTTGATGATCGGATTACCATTCACAAGGTATTTTCCTAGTATCACTCAGGAGATTGTGAAGTTGCTTGTTTCTGTGTTTTAATTACTGTGATGCCTGTCAGACCACAACCCACATGACGATTTCCAGCGACGAATAACAGTTCATTTCTTGCACCGACGTTTATAGCAACCGCTGGACAAGTCGCAAAATCAGAGGAACGTTGCTCAGCTCCGTGTGCGGATCTGGATGGGGCTGTCTACTGACGAAGAGGAGTTTGAAAAGTACATTGATGGGAAAGTTTTGGTCACTGCAGAAAGAGTGAGTCCAGCAATCCTGGAGTGCTTTTGGCATTTTGCATGTATTTATTTTTACAATCTATTTCATAGAAGCGTTCAATCCCTACAGGGTGGAGGCAGGCCATTCAGCCCATCGAGTCCACACCGAAGAGCAACCCATCCAGATCAGCACCCCCCGCCCATCCTATCCCTGTAAACCTGCATTCCCCGTGGTTAATCTATTGAGCCTACACATCCCTGGGCACCACAGACAATTTAGCACGGCCAATCCACCTTAACCTGCACATCTTTGGACTGTGGGAGGAAACCAGAGCATCTGAAGGAAACCTGCACAGACAAGGTTGGAGGGGGGACGAGAAAAATTCACACAGACAGTCGCCGGAGGGTGGAATCGAACTCGGGTTCCTGATGTTGTGAGGCAGCAGTGCTAACCACTGAGCCAGCGTGCCGCCCATTTTGCAGAACAGGGCTCATCAGGTTCAGTTACGACCTTGAACAAACTCGCCCCCACCCCACCCCCCAACATTGAATTCGCTGATCGAGACACCTCGGGTGAAAGAGGTAGGGGAGCTGCATTACTGATTAGGGAGAATGTCACAGCTATTGAGGGAAGACACATCCAACAAGGTCATATGGCTGGAGCTCAGGAATAGGAAGCGTGCAGTCACTTTGATAGGGTTATCCTGCAGACCTCCCAACTCCCAGATCGAGGAATGGACACATGTACAAACGTGTGCATAATAATAACAGGATTGTTGCATTGGGTGATTTTAACCTGCCCTAAATTGACTGGGACTCTGTTAGAGCCAGGGGCTTGAATGGATGGTTTCTTGAAGCAAGATGTGAATAATCAACTTGGGAAGGGGCCATGTTAGACCTGGTGTTGGGGAATGGGCCCAGTCAGGTGATCGAAGTTTCTGTCAGGGAGCATTTCATGAACAGTGAGCATAATTCCTTAAGCTTCAAGTTACTTATGGATAAGGATAAGAGCAGTCTTCAGGTGAAAGATCTAAATTGTGGGAAGGCTAACTCGACAGCATTAGGCATGACCGAGGAATGTAGATTGGAGTTGGCTGTTTGAGGGTAAACCCATACCTGTCAGGCTGGAATCTTTTAAAGGCCTGTTGATTGGAGTTCAGGACCAGCGTGTTCCTGTGTCAGTGAAGGATAGGGATGGCAAGATTCGGGAACCTTGGATGACGAGAGAAATTGTGAGCTTAGTCGAAGAGAAAATGGAGGCTTACATAAGGTTTTGGAAACTGAAGACTGACAGAGCTCTCAAAAAATATAAAGAAAGCAGCAAAGAACTTAAACAAGGAGTTAGGAAGGCTAAAAGGGGCCATGAAATGTCCTTGGCAAAAAACGTTTAAGAAAAGTCCAAAGATATTTTATGTGTATATAAGAAGCAAGAGATTAACTAGGGAAAGGCCCACTCAAGGACAAATCTGTGTGCAGAGCTGGAGGAAGTGGGTGAGGCCCTTAACGAATACTTTGCAATGGTTTTCCAGATGGGGAGTCTAGAGAGGGGTATGTTGATATTCTAGGCCTTGTCGATATAAAAAGGAAGGGGGTGTCGGATGCCTTCAAAAGCAGTAGGGTAGACAAGTCCCCAGGACGTGATGGCATCGATCCCAAAATACTGAGGAAGGACATGGTTGGGGCTTCATACAGAATTCCCCCAATTTCCATCACAGGAGAGATCCCAGAGGACTGGAGAATATCCAAAGTTATTCCTTTGCTTAAGAAGGGCAACTACAGGCCAGTGAGCCTTACATCAAAGGTAGGGAAATTATTGGGGAAGATTGTTAAGGAGGTCCCTCAAAGCAGGCTGATGCAGAAAGTGAAGTCATATGGGAATCCACAGTGAGCTGGCAAGATGGATTCAGAACTGGCTTGGTCATAGAAGACAGAGAGTAATGATGCAAGGGTGTTTTTCTGACTGGAGATCTGTGACCAGTGGTGTTCCGCAGGGACCCCTGCTGTTTGTATTGTATATAAATGGAGGAGAATGCAAGTGGTTTGATTAGTAAGTTTGCAGATGACATAAAGATTAGGGGAGCTATGGCTGGTGAAGAGGATTGCCAGAGGATACAGCAGGGTATAAGTAGGGTGGAGACTTGGCAGAGAAATGGCAGATGGAGTTTAATCCTGTCAAATGTGAGGTGATGCATTTTGGAAGGTCTTCTGCAAGAAAGAAGTATACAGTGAATGGCTGAACTGTTAGAAGCATTAGAATACAGAGGGATCTAGGGGTACAGGTCCACAGCTCCCTGAAAGTGGTAGTTGGGATATTGCATGCAGCTGTGGTCACCACACGACCAGACAGATGTGGAGGCGTTGGAGATGGTACAGAAACGTTTTACCAGGATGTTGTCTGATCTGGAGGTTATTAGCTATGAGGAGAGATTGGATAGACTTGGTTTGTTTTCACTTGAATGTCAGAAGTTGAGGAGTGACCTGAAAGGGGTTTACAAAATTATGAGTGGCATGGATTGCATAGATAATCAGAGTCTTTTTCCCAGGATAGAAGTATCAATTACTAGGCGACATAGGTATGAGGTAAAGGGAGGAAAGTTTAAAGGAGATGTAAGAGGCAGATTTATTTTTACACAGAGGGTGGTAAGTGCCTGGAATGCGCTGCCAGAGATGGTGTTGGAAGTGGATACAATGGCAACATTTAAGAGGCATCTTGACAGATACATGAATAGGCAGGGAATAGAGGGATTCAGACCGCTTAGATGCAAAAGGCTTTTAGTTTAGGAAGGCATTGTGTGTCGGCACACAGACGTGCTGGGCCTGTTCCTGTGCTGCACTGTTCTTAGTTCATTGTCAGGGGGACTCGTGCTGAACTCTGAGAGACTTTAAGAGACTCGGTGCTCATTCCTGGCAGCTTCCCACTCCCTGTGCATCATGTCTTCTGTAGAAGTGCTCTGCAGTGCCTCATCATCCACACAGGGCTGTTCCCAGGAGGCTCGTTGGGAGCGTTTGGAAGCTCGCAAGAGTGAGTGGAACCTCATGGGAGGAAGGAAAAGTAGGAGCGTGGTGTCAATTGCAAAATGCATTATGGATACATTTTCGTAAATGAATCCTTGTCACTTAAAGCAAATATCGTATTCCCCCACTTTCTGGTCACAATGAACCCGAGCCCCTCCCAGTCTCGTGCCTCTCTGTTCCACACCAGACAGCGCTGTCTGTACAACTGAGCCTTTGCTGCAGGGAGCCAAATGTGTCGATTCACTGTTTGTACTTCTGGTTCTCTTTTCAGTATGAAAATCAGGCAAGGGTCATGGGCCACTGGGGCACCAGTGGGTTGCTGCAGCATCCGACGTTCTCTGACGCGTTGGGTAAAATAAAACTGTCAAGAAAGGACTTCTATCCTCTCAGGGGCTGGCAGTGGGACGGAAAATGGACCATCGACCCCGAGAGGTGGTGAGTTTGCTTCCTGCCTTTCGGGTGGGGCTGGGGGGGAGGGGCCTTCCAAAGCATTTCGATTGATGTTAATGCACACCTTTGTACTTTTGTTCACGGGACAAGGGTTTGTTTGTGGTATCAGCAGTATTGTCAGGGAGCACTGCATCTAAAAGACAGCATCTCCAACAGAGCAGCGCTCCCTCAATGCCGCAGTCAGTCTGAATCATACCCTTAACTCCTGGAGTGGGACATAAACCCACGACCTTCTGACTCAGGGGCGAGAGTGCGATCCAGTGAGCCACGGGTGGTTTGAAAGAAGGGCGGGGGTATCACAGAGAGATAGCAGAGGAGATGAATGGGAGATGGAAATGGATGCGGAAAACCTGCAGACCAGAGGGAGTAAGGAATGATTGAGGGAGGGATGGGAAGTGAGTTGCATGCATTTGAGGTTGAGGCGGAGGAGGAGTTAGAGAGGAATTTGGAAACGGGTCGAGTGGTTCTCTGTCTTTGAGTTTCCAGCTTTCAATTCTCTTTTTCCCTCTCTCTTACAGTTTGTTGTTTGATGCTGATGCGGGCCACAATGAATTCACTGATGAAGTTTATGAGAATGAAACCCATTTGGCTGGAGGAGAATGGAGCCCAGCCTTGGAACAATACACAGACAAAGTAGGTGTTTCACTCCCACTTCTTCTGAGAAATCTGACTGAAATGTGCGCCGGAGTTAAACATTGCACAGGCAAGCACCATGAGGCAGGCCCTTGGTAACTGCAAGAAAGAAAAGACTCGAATCTTCTATAATTGGGCTAGACTTCAATCCAGATCCTGGAGGTGAAAAGGGCAGGATGTCACATTGTCAATCTGGAACAGAAAGAGGGTGTTCACCCCATTGAGTCTCTGTACAGAAATCCAGTCAGTCCCATTGCCCCACTCCTCCCTGCGGCCTTGCAGTTTATTTCCCTCAAGCACCTTTCTGATTTCCGGTTGAAATCATTCATCATCCCTGTTTAGTCCAGGCTCATAGGCAGTGAGTTCCAGCTCATTGCCACTCGCTGTGGAAACATGTTTGACCTTACATCCTACCCTTGTATCCCTTGCCCAAAACATTAAATCTATATCTCCCAAATTATCTTTGTACCATCAAGTGATGGGAACAGTACTTTTCTGTCTACCACCTGCTATATAGGAAGGATATTATTAAACTGGAGAGGGTTCAGAAAAGATTTACCAGGATGTTGCTGGGAATGGAGCGTTTGAGTTATAAGGAGAAGCTGGATAGGCAGAGACTTTTTTCACTGGAGCGTAGGAGGTTGAGAGGTGACCTCATTGAAGTTTATAAAATCATGAGTGATATAGATAAGGTGAATGGCAGGTGTCTTTTCCCTAGGGTGGGGGATTTCAAGACCAGAGGGCATATTTTTAAGGTGAGAGGAGAAAGATTTAAAAAGGACATTTGGGAAAGCTTTTTTACATAGAGACTGGTTCGGTTTGTGAAATGAACTTCCAGAGGAAGTGGTGGATGCGGGTACAGTTACAATATTTTAAAGACATTTGGATAAGTACATGAACAGGAAAGGTTTGGAGGGATATGGGCCAAGTGCAGGCAGGTGGGACTAGTTTAGTTTGGGATTATGATCAGCATGGACTGGTTGGACTGAAGTGCTGTATGACTCTGTATTCAAACTTCTCATAATCTTGTCCAAATCCCCCCACAACCTCCTTTGCTTCAAGGAGAACACCCCAAGCTTCTCCAACTGAACCCTGTGGCTACAGTCCCTCATCCCTGGAACCATTCTGGTCCATCTCCGTCCACACCATGTTGAGGACACTCACATCCTTCCTGAATTGCAGAGACCAGGGCTGCACACAGTGCTCCAGTTGAGGCCTCATTAGAGCTTTGCTGCTGATTTGCAAAAAATGGGGAACACGATACTGTTCTCAGTTGCTTGAGAGGGGTCTATGCAAAAACCTCCCATGTCATTTGATGCTTTTTCTCTTGTACCTCAGAAAGGGAATAGACACTCACCGATGGAAGAGATCGAATGTCCTGTTGGGTGGGAATGGAAGGAGGAATGGATGCCAGATTTTTATGGGGCAGTGGATGAACATGGTAAGTAGGCATGTGCCAGTGGGACTGGCCAAAGACATGGCACTATTGAACTGTAACTACCTTCTTTCATTTACAGTTAACCCTTTCTGGGTTATTGGTGAGCCTGGCTCTCGTTATCTCAACCCAGTTTTCTATGTTTTGTATCAGGGTCACGAACCTCAGTGCTCCTCTGACCTTTTCTCTCTTGTCTTTCGAGGTTGTAGATATCCCATCATATATGCTCTTCCTCATCACTGAAGTGAAATGAATTGAATTGAATTAGCTTTATTGTCACATGTACTCAAATGATTACAATGAAACGTTTACAATTGCCACATTACAGTGCCATCTTAGGTACAAAGGCACCGAGGAACAGATACTGAAAATCAAATTCTGAGGGAACACAAACATTAGAAAAATAAAGAAATAAATAGTCCACCTGCCACTTGTCATCTGTGTTCAGTACATAATACTCTAGCCCTGACATAGCATATTGTGCATTGATATTCCACCACACGCAAACGAACACAAGGTCCGGGAAGGCATTCCAATGCAGCACTGAGGGCACGCTAGGCTATCGGAGGGTCAGTACTGAGGGAGTGCCGCACTGTCGAAGGGTCAGTACTGAGGGAGCGCCACACTGTCGGAGGGTCAGTGCTGAGGGAGCGCCACACTGTCGGAGGGTCAATGCTGAGGGAGCACCGTGCTGTCGGAGGGTCAGTGCTGAGGGAGCGCCGCACTGTCGGAGGGTCAGTGCTGAGGGAGCGCCACACTGTCGGAGAGTCAGTGCTGAGGGAGCACCGTGCTGTCGGAGGGTCAGTGCTGAGGGAGCGCCGCGCTGTCGGAGGGTCAGTGCTGAGGGAGCGCCGCACTGTCGGAGGGTCAGTGCTGAAGAAGCACTGCACCATCTGTGTGCTTGTGTTGCTGCAGTGCAGCGCAATAGAGCATTGATAGAGCATTGCATTGTCAGGCAACACTGAAGGTCTGTGGCCCAATTGAAGGTGTCAGCTTTCAGATAAAGGGCCAGTGTGCCTCCTGAAGTTAATGTTATTTCAAGTCTCTGCCTTATTTCAAAGAGAGGCCAATAATTACCCCTGCACGAAACACCCCATCTGGTCGTGTTCATTTTGCTGCTTGTCGGAGCTCTCTGTGCCCTACAGTACAGCAGTGACTACAAGTCCAAAGTCCCTCCCCAAGTTCATGGTGTCAGTCCCCTTTTGGCCCCCTCCCTCCTCCGGTTGTTGAACTCCTCGCCTCGGGCAGCCGAGGCACCTCATCTCTGGAGAGACAATTTGATGTCTGTTACCACAACGTGTCCTTTGCTCCATTTGAAGGATGGGAGTACGGAAAGGCCGTTTCACCAGAGACGATGCCAAGGCACTGGAACCCCACAGAGAAAGCCTACCACACGCACCGGCGACGCCGATGGAAACGCGAGCGCGTGAGGAAACCTGATCGCTCTCGCCAGCTGAAGGTGGGCTAACACACTGTCGGTGCGCGCCGCGTTTGTGGCGACGGAAAGCAACGATTAGATTGGAGGACCCCGTCTGCCATTTGAAACATTAAGCCCGTCTCCCCCATCAGGTGGGGGTTGAGGGACCCTTGTCTTATCCCTGATCCCCCATGGGCAGTTATTTTCCCCAAATTGGCATGAATAGAACAGGCCACCTCATCGTCATTGTACCGTGATTTATGGGAGCTCGCTGTGCATTCGTTAGCTGCTGCCTTTCCCATGTAACACCAGCTTACCTGTGACTAAAACCCTCATTCCTGTCTCCATTCCCTCTATTCCAACGCACACCTGCCTGGTCTTGAGGTCACTCAAGATACTGTGGCTTGTGTTTTGAAGTACAGGTCCAAATCCCCCTGTCAATATCTATGCTCGGTGCCCTAGGCTCCTGGTCAACAGCAGCTTGATTTTACAATTCTCATGCATGTTTTCAAATCCCTCTAAGGCCTCACTCCCCCCACCCCCCCAGCTGTGTAACCTTCCTGACCCCACACTTCTTTCCATTTACCTGCATCCCTGGGCTCTGGAGCAATCCTGATTTTAATCACACCGTTGGTGGCTGTGCTTTTAGGAGCCTCGGCTCCAAGCTCTGGAATTCTCTCCTTAAGGCTTCCCCCATTTTGCTTCTGAGTGCCCTGGCTGTAACTTGAAGGTCATTTCGGGCCCATTGTTAATAAGACCACGAGAGGAAACTGTGCTCCCTCAAGTCTTCACATCAAGTGAGGACATGTACGACCAGTCGTGAGCTTCCTTTTTAAGAGACTTCATGACTGAAACTGAAGCCCTTCAATTTGCGATCTGATGTTCCTCACGCAGAGAGAAGAGATTGATTCAGATGGCTGGGAGTACGCCCCTCTGTTTGGCTGGAAGTTCCACGTAAAACAGAACAAGGGAGACATTTACCGTCGCAGGCGCTGGAGAAGGCGGCTAATCCCCAAGGAGCAGCTAGGCCCGGCGGCCATTTTCAGACTGGAAGGCTCTTTGGTATGTTTCCCGGTGCTCGAAGGCAGTCACTCACTTGCTCAAAGGTACTTTGGGACAAAATTATCTGGAATTTGTCGACCAGAATGGACGAGAGGTTCACCAACGAACTAACCCACGTTAATTCATAGCAGGTGACAACATATTCATTTTAATCGTGCAACGATAGCACCACAAAGCAACAATCCAATGTAGATTTGTATTGCATGGAAAGGGGGGTCATTCAGCCCATCCATTTCCTTACCAGCTCCTTGAAACAGCAGTCCACTTCTCTGTTGCCCTGAAAATTGCCCGTATTCATCCAGCTTTCCTTCTCAAAGTGGCTGTAGAATCTGCTCCCACCACCCATTTGGGTAGTGCGGTTATTTTCAAAGGAGGACAGAAGTTCACCTTCTCCAGTCTCACCATAGAATCCCTACAGTGTGGAAGCAGGCCATTCGGCCCTCTGGTAAATGGAAGTTTTTCCTCCATTTTGTACCATTCTGGATTGAGCCTTCTGTGCACCCCCTCCAAGGCCTTGACTTGCTTCCTAAAGTGTGACACAGTTCTTCAACAAGCTTTGCCAGTGAATTGTGAAGGGTTAGCGTGGCTTCATTAGAATTCCTACAATGTGGAAGCAGGCCATTGAGCCAATGAGCCCAAACCAACCCTCCAAAGTACATCCCATGCAGACCACACACACCCCCATCCCTGTAATCCTGCATTTCTCACGGCTAATCCATCTAAGATGGGAGGAAACAGGAGCACCCGGAGGAATTCCACACAGACACGGGGGAGAATGTGCAAACTCCACACAGACAGTCGCCCGAGGGTGGAATCGAACCCGAGTCCCTGGTGCTGTGAGGCAGCAGTGCTAATCACTGAGCCACCATGCTGGCCTATGCCACCATTCATTGCCATTCCTGCAACCTGTATCTAACCGTTAGCAGACCTTCCCTGGGAATGTTTGATGGGGACAGTGTAGAGGAAGCTTTACTTTCGCCCTAAAAGAGTAGAGGCACCTTTACTCTGTATTTAACCCTGTGCTGTTCCTGTCTTGGGAGTGTTTGATAGGGACAGTGTAGAGGAAGTTTTGCTCTGTATCTAATCCTGTGCCGTTCCTGTCCTGGGAGTGTTTGATATTGACAGTGTAGAGAGAGCTTTACTCTGTATGTAACTCTGCTCTGTACCTGGCACAGCACTACTTGGTGTTGTCACAGGCTGCCTGAAGTTTAAGAGATAGTTCAGTTTCTCCAGCACAGAGTTGCTTCACTTGATGAGGAGTGAATGAGAGCGGCCTGGATATCTGGGCAGAGAAATGGTGGGTTAACGAGTGCTCGCCGTGGAAATACTATGTGTGAGAGCCTGCCTGTTTTTTTTCAGTGTCGGGAAAGCAGTGAAGGACATCTGGAGGATCTTGAGGAACAGGAGAAGCCTGTTGGCCGTCAGGAACTTTATGGGATGACCGCACCCTTTATATCTTGCATTCTGGACCGTAAGTTTAAGGTGGTTTACGAGAACTGTGGCACTCTCAGTACTCCAGTGCTGTAGTTAGGGATTGGTGCGTTGTCTTGTCACTGTGATATTAAACTGAGACCCTCTATAACCATTCAACAGGAATAACAGGTCCCTTGATCCTATTCGAAGGAGACCTGGGGGAGTTCTCCCTGGTCAATATTTATCCCAACAACACCGAACTAGATTTTTCAGTCATCCTTCACCTTGTTGGTGGGAGCTTGCTGCATGCAAATTAGCGTCACATTTCCTACCATACAGCATGGGACTGCTCTTGATGAAGTTCTTCATTGGTTGCCCCCAAGGTTGTGAAAGATGATACATAAGTGCAAGTCTTTCCTTGTGGTATCTGTATTGCCCGCCTGCTTGAGATTGCATGATCTAAAAGTGTCCACCAATTATCCATTACGTGTCCAAAAGTGGATTGGGGCTGAGGGATAGGTGCTTTCCGTTCTGAGATTGATTTCAGCAGTGACAAATTCCCTGCAGTTTTGAGACAGAGGGGCATTAAAGTGGAGAAGGATATTTGTGTGAAGAAAGACCCTGGTATTCAGCTCACATTTTAAGGTGAAGCTCTGGGGGAAACTTAAACCTGAATCTCATTGAAACGAGATGCTTTTTGTCTTGCACTCATCAGGGCAAATGCAAGAAAGCCAAGTTCCAAACAATTGCAATAATTTATACTCTGATTGGCTGAGGCAAAAGCAACAGGGAACTGTCGGGTCCCCCAAACTAACAGTAATTCAAGAAAGGCACAAGGTGTGAATATTATTTTTCCACAGCAACGCATGGCCAATCAGAGTTGACTTGCAAACCAATCAGTGCCGTATGGTATAAATTGCTGTGATCGTTTGAAATTTTGGCATTCTTGCATTTGTCCAGATGAATGACAGACAAATAGTATTGACACCATGCATCTCAATTCTGTGATATTGAAGGAAAAAATTTCTTTGTTCAAACAGTAGTAATGCATTGGAGTATCCTGTTTAATAGGCTGGATTAGAAGGACTAAACTAGTTACTGTGCAGGTATAACACTAGTTACTGTGCAGGTATAACA